CACAAATTCCTACATATGCAAAATTCATGAAGGAAATGTTGACAAGAAAAAGGTCTATTAGTGAGGTAGAGACAGTAGCTTTCACTGCAGAGTGTAGTGCCGTACTTCAAAATAAATCTCCACCTAAACTGAAAGATCCGGGTAGTTTTTCTATCCCTTGTCATATTGGAAATCTAATGATTGATAGTGCATTATGTGATTTGGGCACTAGCATTAGTGTTATGCCATTATATGCGTGTTCCATGATAAATATGGGTAAATTAAAAGCTACTAACATTACTCTACAAATGGCCGACCGTTCTTTTAAATACCCCTTAGGTGTTTTGGAGGATGTTCCTGTTAGAGTAGGTAAATTTTATATACCTGTTGATTTTGTTGTTCTTGATATGGCTAAGGATACGCAAACCTAAATTATTTTGGGTAGACCATTCCTTAACACTGCAGGAGCAATTATAGATGTGAGATGTGGCAAATTAACATTATTAGTAGGGGATGATAAAATTATTTTTAATCTTAATAATACCCCTAAAATCCCCATGACAGAGGAGAAGTGCTTTAGTGTTGATGTGGTTCAAAATTATTCTAACAAGCCCCAAGCTCTTGTAAAAGATCCCTTGGAGGCGGTATCTTATGTTGCATCCTTTACAGATGAAATAGACAAATGGCGGAAGGAAATTGATGCAATAGAAAGAGCCCTCTACACTGTCGATCTTGGCTTTGAGGATGAGAAGGTGAAATTAAACAAGCAAGTTATAGAAATTGAGCCTACAATAAGTGTTCCGCCAAATCGAGTTGCAAGTGCTAAATGTAGTGACAATTTGAAGCAACCATCGATCGAAGAGGGATCTTTGTGCGTAGCATTGAAGAGCCCCTAGTCCAAGTCAAGGAGGATCCACCAGATAAGGGGAATTGGCGTCCCACAGGGTATGTCAGGAAGCCGCGTCGTAGCCTAATCATCGATCGACCGGGTGAAAAACCACCCGACCAAGCGTTAGGCCAAGGGTCCTAGTTTTTGTACTTTGTAAGAAGGTCGTGCGGGACCTGGATAAACCAGCGCTTTGCGGGAGGCAACCCGTATTTTAATGCTTTTTAGACTAGCTTTTTCTTCTTTTTCATGTGAGAGGAGGGAATCTAACGAGTTTTATGAGTTTTTGTACAGGTTTGAAGGAAAAGAGTTAGCCAAAATTGAAGAAAAGAAGAAAGCCAAAAAAAATCGTCCAATTAGCCTCGGGCCCGATATTTGACGTAAACGAACATTTTAGATCGCCCGATCGGGCGTGAGAGTGGAAGAAATTTCAGGCACAAGATCGTCTGACCGGGCGCAAAAGGAGGGTAAAATTCAAAATTCAGATCGCTCGATCGGGCGACGGTCCGCCCGACCGGGCGCGACACCAGCCACTCCCTTTTCTTCTTCTTCCTTCTTTTTTCGCTCTTCATTTCTTCTTTCCTCCATAACTTTCTCTCTCTAAAACCTTAAAACCTCTACCTTCTCTCTTAGATCTTCTTTTCATTACTCACTCAAATCCAATAATCTCTACATATTCTTAATCCTCTCTTCATCCTCTACAATCTTACATAAAAAATTTCAAGTTTCAATCAAATAATTTCACACCCATTTTTTCTACTATGGCTTCAAAGAGGGCTCGATCAATTTTTGGGAGGAGTTCTAGTTCGAGGGAGGAGTACGATCCAGATTTGCAACTCTCCTATTGGCCAACAATCCGAATTGCTAGCCAGGAGCAAAAGGAACGGCTTGAACACCATGCCGGGTGGGAGGTACACTACAAAAAAAAAAATAAGAATAGGCAACACATAAAATTGTAACAAAATAACAAATGTTGTCTTTTGTAGGAAATGGCAACAATTCTTATTTGTTACCTTGATCATACAATCTATAGTACATGACAATGCAACCGTTGCAAAAGTGTTGCTTTAGAGTATGTTAGACAACAATATTATAAAATGTAGTCTTTTCTCTTACATAAGACAACATTTATTTCATATGTTACCCTACAAGATAACAACAATCAAATTGTTGTCTATATAAAAATATAAAAGTTTATATTATAAAAGCATTATATTATAATACCTATTTAACAACATATATAATTTAAAAAAAATTGTATTTGATAAAGGAAAAAAAAAAAATATTGAACAAAATTTGTATTTAATTTTTTTTTAAACAAAATACCAAACGTGTCAATGATTTTAGGTTTAAGGGGCGTTGAGTTATCACATTAAGTCATTCATGGGTCATCGTATCATTATCATTTTCATTCTTATCATTACCTATCAACTTATTATTTTTAAATCAAATTGGTGTTGAATTATCGACAATTTAATGTACCATATTATAGTATGAGTCACACTAAAGTGGTTAGGGTTAAACAGGTTGTGGGTTCGTTGTAAATAGTTTGGATATAATGGGTAATAGACTTATAGGTAAAAACGGTTCTAATGGGTGGCCGGGTTTATATGATTTCAGTTAAACTTTTGGTGGGTTATACACAATAAAATTTGAGTTAAACTTGTGGCAGGTTAATTATAAGCGATTCGGGTAAAACAAGTTAGTTGTAGAATGAAATGATTTAGGCTCATCATGTTTATATGATTTTAAGTACAATACTATTAGGTTTGAAACCTAATTGGTACAGATAGATCATTTACAACTCTATTTGAATTTCACCTTGTATTGGTTTATCAATTAGAAGATTATTTTAGAAGCCCGTATATTTATCTTGACAATTTTGGATAAAATTGTATATTCCTATAATTGGCATATCTTGACCAGAAATAGGGAGCTTAGATATGAAAATATGATTTAAAACTGATTTAATTTAATATAGGGCGAGTTACTATCGTTTTCAAAAGTAATCAATGTGCCACATTATTTTATAAATAATATGAAGTTATTTAACTTTTATAACTCATTGAGACATTGATCAAAATAATTTACAAGGAGTTGAGCATTGATTGGCCTTGGTAGAAGGCCCCCTTTACCTAATTACCTATCAAATATTCAAAATACACAGAGTACTTTGTAAGAAAAATAGAAATCATAACATAAAACTCGTTAAGAGATAAAAATTAGACCATTATCCTTAAAAAAAAAAATTAAACCTTTTTCTTCTAAACATAGTTATACAAAACTCACTTTTTTTTCTTTAATAGTTGAAATAAAAAACCTCATATACTCATAATTAAGAGATAAAAATTAGAACTTTCTTTAAAAAACTAAAAATAAAAAAAATTACTGTAGAACTTTTATCTCAAAAAAATAAAATAAAATAAATAAAGACAATCAATTACCGCGAAAATGGTGAATTGTTTTTTGGGTTTTTCCACTAAGAATCAGTTACTCATAATTAACAACGCAAAAAACAAAAAAAAACAAAAAAAAAAAAAGCGCAGCGAGAAACGCTTCTCTCTCTTCAATGGGTAATCTGCCACTGCCAGCCACCGCTGCTACCTGTGTGCCAACCTGCCGCCGCACCGTCCATCCACCGCACTCCAGTCTCCAGCCACCGCACTCCAGTCTCTAGCCACCGCACAGCCACACTCTAGACAAGTTAATTCCGTAATCATACTTAACTATTGATTTTTAAGCTTTTAATTTGTTATTCTACATGAGTTGTTGGGTTGATTTTGTGCATAAATTACTTGTTTATGTTATTTAATCTATCAAGTTAGTGTGGATGTTGCTTGAAATTGATGATTTGTTATTTAGTTTATCAAATTAGAGAGTTAGGGTTTCTAAATTTTTTAGGAATTGATAATATTGGTTTTCTCGATTTTTTTTTTCCTTAGGAATTGATAATATTGGTTTTCTCGATTTTTTTTTCCTTAGGGATTGATAATATTGGTTTTCTGGATCAGCCACTGGTGTAAGTTATTTTTAGGAATGAAATTAATTAATTGATTTCTATCAATCAAAATTCAAAGAAAAAAGGATTACAAGCTCAGCCCACCTTCTTTATGAAATTAATGACCAGATTATATAGTCATTATTTATCCTGCTTAACTTGAATTTGCTTGTATGATACTGTAGTAATGTTAGATTTCAGAATTGCATTTATTTCGTTAATATATGAGCTGTTGTACATTCAATTGTTGCTTAAGATCTGTAGCCATTTTATTGACATCTCCACTTGATTACATGTGTTTATTGATGGAAATAATTCACATACAATATTTTGTTGGATGCAATTTGGTACAATAATGTTTAGATGGAATAATTTGCATGCGATTAACTAATTTCTTTAATCAAGACATATTCTACATAGATGTTCAAGAATGTGGGTTGTGTGTGAGAGTTTGGTGTTAGCATTGCTTTTATGTGGAAAAAGCTGAGTTAGTGTTATTGTCTACTCTGTATTATTGTTGCTTGAATGTTAACATTCACTAGTACAAAACTAACCTTAAGTAACACCCAAAAAGTGTTACATAAAGTGGTAAAAGTGTTACTATAGACAATAGGTAACACTTTATTGGATGACACTTCCGCCCATGTTACCTAAGGTCTTATGTAACACTTTCGGTAATGTATGGTAACACTTTCAAAAGTGTTATTATAAACCCTCTTAGATATCACTTTTTATATTATTAGTATCATTTTGAAAGTGTTACTTTTTATTTCTTAGGTAACACTTACTTATTTTTAATAACATTTTACAATCATATAGTAGCACTTTATGTGACATTATGTATCACTTTTTCGAACTAATGTAACACTTTATTGATTATTAGGTAACAATTTCCAATTTTCTTTTGACATATAATAGCACTTTATTTGACATTATGTATCACTTTTTGCGTACTAATATAACACTTTATTAATTAATAAGTAACATTTATTATATTATTATTATTATTATTGTTATTATTATTATTATTATTATTATTATTATTATTATTATTATTATTATTAATTATAATTATTTATTATTATTATTATTATTATTATTATTATTATTATTATTATATATAAAATTAATATTAATACGTACAAGTGTACAACGGTACAACAACGTAACCATGAATGAGAAATTTACATATATGATATACAATAATTTGAATTGAAATAATTTCATATATAATTCATACAAAAAAATCCATAAACACCAATTTATATGTTTAGCCAAACAATATAATAATCAAAACAAAAAGAAAGTTAGCTTTGGTCTCTAGCTTGGAAAAAGTGAAGGCATACGAAACAACTCCAAATTTCAAAATATAGTCAATGGCAGTAGCAATATATGATAGCTGCATCATCCTAGCAAAACGACAGCAACAGTAACATCAGCTACACATTAAACATCAATAGACCATTTCAAACTCCTATTTTGAACCACTCCTCGAAACAAATAAAAAAAAAATTAAAGTTAGTTAATACATTTCAAGCCAATTTTTTTTCCCTCAAATTAAACATCAATAGACCATATTAGCAACAGCTATATTGAATCAATGCAAACAATAAACATGTCTACCAATATGCAGTACTTTAAACACCAATCTTCATCTTATTAAAAAATATATCAAATCAAACCCTACTATCTAACAACAAACTAAACTATTGAAAACCACCAAGCATTTTGATTAACAAGACTAGGTCTTATGAGACTGTACTATCAATATATAATCACAATAAAAAAAATAAAAAAAAATCACAAAGCTATTCAATTCGCATAATTATAGAAATGCGATATAATAAATAATTTTTTCCCCAAGAACTCAATTGATAAAGAACTAATACTTAATTTCTTGAAATTAAATAATTCTCTGGAACTTATATTGTTAGGAATTACGGAAATAAAGGGAAAAGAGGACAACATTAAGGTATTCTTTGGCAATGAGAGTAGGAGCGAACTTACTTAAGAAGCGACATCGGAAATCATAACTAATTTCAAGCCATTGCCCCGGCGACTCCAACAGCAGCGACAGAGGTAACTCGGCGGCGGCGGCAGTGGTTATGGCGACGGTGGGTTTAGATTCGGGTTCCTCTTTCTAAAAGAGAGAGTGATTGCGGTGATTCCCAAAGGAAACATTGAGGGTTTCGTGGGAGTTAATGAGTGAGGTGGGACTTGTGGGAGCGGAAGCGAGTTATAGAGGTTTACAGAATTTCCCACTTAATTTTAAAGTGAAATTTTCAAAGCCTCTTTGTATCGTACTTGTGTGACACTGTTTAGTTATCCGTCGATCAGTAATTAACTATTTTTTTTTAAAAAAAAACACTAATAGTGACGCTTTAAAGTGTGTAAACAATCACAAAAAAAAAAAAACGGCCAGTGACACCATTTAAAAGTCATTAACTCATTACAAAAGCGTGCATATTGTAATTTTCTAAAAAAAATCGTCTATATTGTAACATTTTCTTGTAGTGGAACCATGTGAATACTTAATACGAAAAGGTTGGTGAGTGTAATGTTGGGCAAAGATAAGAAAAAAAAATTGATAAGAAAAATTAGAAGGATTGGGCATATAAAGTTAACTGTTACAACCAAGTGATACTAATATCAAAGTGTTACAATAATGTGTTACCTAATATTAAAGTGTTACAAAAAGTGTTACGTAATATCAAAATGTTACAAAAGTGTTACATAAAAGTCAAATAATCATGAAACTTTTAAAGTGTTACCAATTGGTGTTACTTAAGTCCAATTTTGTAGTAGTGATTACTGCTATAGTTTTTCTGTTCAATTGCTACTGTATTTTGTCTGAAATTATTGCTGCATGTAATAATGTTGTTGTTGCCATGTTATATTGCTGCTATTGTTACTTTGCAGTTGCCCCATAGCTGCAGTTCTGTCCGTTCCAAAATTATGGACCTACAGTCGTTTTTAGCCCCTAGCCCCTTCATAAAAGTTATAGATCTTGAAAAGTTATACAATCTAGGCTCAAAAATTTCTCAATTTGGAATTGTGTGCTGAAAGTTATGCCTTCTAGAAATTTCTGTGGTCTGCTAACTTGGTTCTATCGCAACAAGGTTATTATTGTTCTCTTGATGCCTATGTGAGGTTGTTGCATTGAGTTGGGTAGGGTTGCTAAAATGAATACTGTGCCTTTTCTTTTTTCTTTTTATTCTATTTTCCCTACAATTTTTTACAAATTAATTACTTCTTAAATTAATATGTGGATTTGGAAATACTGGTGTCTTTTGTAAACAAATGCTTGATTTTGGTGCATTTCTAAACTTGAAGTGATTGAGAAGAATTCTTGATGTTTTCAGAAATTAGCTTGAGAGAACCATACAAGTTATAGTTGTGCTAGATTATAAACGGATTTTGGGGCTCGGTTATCTTGGTTGTCAGGTGGTTAGATGTGCCCTAGCTCTAAATAGATCATTATTATTGTAAAACTTGTGTGATTTCATAGTTGTAAAAATGAACATGTTTGTGGAAAAATTGGCTCATTAAACAACACTTGGAGGAGTTTGTCCATTAAGGGTAAGCAAAATAGATCCTTTGTGAATTTATTATGTTGAATATATAATTTGAGAAGGTTCGTCCTACCTCTCTTGTTTCAGTGTTTGCCAATAACCACTGATGTCAGGACTTACAACGAGAAAATGCTTAACGATGAGTTCTACATTGGTCTATGACAAAGAAGAGCCACTTGGAAGGTTGTAAAGCTTTTTTTAATTTTTTTTCTTTGATACATGTGATGAAAAATTCGTTACATTATAGATTGAGGTTACATAACTTTTTTTTGTAGTAATATGATGAGCTTCTTGAGGAGTTCATGAGTGCAGTAAAGCAGAACTATGGAGAAAAGTTCTTGTTATACAGGTTTGTTACTAGACTTACTACTGTCTATGATTATAATTTCCATTATTTAAAGTAATCTGTATCCTTTCATATTTTAAAATTTAATTGGATTTATAACTGAAATTCAAAGACTACCAACCATAATGCCTTCAAGCTGCTCTCAAAATACTCAACAAGTTATCGTGTGTTAGTTCAATGGTGATATTCAGGTATGTAATGAGATAAATACGTTTTTATTTAATAATTTACTTTGTGTCAGCTCTAACCCCCCCCCCCCCCCCCCCCCCCCCCCCCCCCATTTTTTTTTTTCTTTCAATTCTATTCTTCTCTGCATAGGGGACTACATCTATTGTCCTAACAAGAATTCTTTTGGCACTGAAATTAGTTGGTGGCACCTTGGCAGAACATAGATTTTTATTCCTTGGACCAGGAGAGGTAAGAATGATACCTTTTTTTCTTTGACGTTGAGCTCTGGGTGTAAAGTGGTTCTGATTGAATTACAGTGAAGCTAACATTTTTATTCAATTACGGTGAAGCTGATTCCTGTCATATGACATTGTAGGCTGCCAAAGGTTTTAATTCTTTGTTTAGAATTTCAATTATTTATCTTAAATTTTGAAAAACTATATTATTCTTTAACTTTTTTATTTGATTGGTATGACAGGTAAAGCACATGGAAGAAAGATATATATTGAAGACAGAGAAAGAGAGTTGATTTATTGGAGCTTTAGATTGTCTATAGTCAATTGACTTGTTTCCCGCTTTGGACGTTTCAATCCCTCCATTGTATATACAATTAGATACGAACAATTAGTGGTACTAATAATGTACTAGTTTGTGAATCTATTTATCTTTTTTAGGGTACACATTGTGTAGTATATTTACTTGGATATTGTTTTTGGATTTGATAGATGTGTTCACATGCGTTATGATATAAAAAATTTTACATCTATATTAATGTTCAGCTTCCATTTAGATTAATTTTTCTTCCATTGTTCAGTTCACATGTTTATTCATTATATTTCTTTCATTTCATATACAATAATTTTTAAAGTGTTGTCTTTCAGATTTTTTGGCAACAATATTGTATTATTACTATCTAATACAACAGATAAAGAGCTTGATGCATATTATTATAGAAGAAAACATTTTTTTAATTATTTTCTAAGATTGCAACAATTTTCTTTTGTTGCCTTTGTAAAAGTGTTGCCTTAGGTATCATTATACCTTGGCTTTTAAAATTGTTGCCTTTGAACTAAAATGTGTTGCCTTAGGAATAGACAACGGGGGCATAAACTACGCCTCATATGTGTTGCCTTAGCTACAAGGCAACACTTTTTTGATATTAGGCAATAGTTTTTCAGTGTAACCTTTGCTTTATTTTGTTGTAGTGGTAATTCCTTCACGGTGGTTACACCGCCCTACTCTTGAATCTTATGGTTTGTATGATTTTATTAAACGATTTTTGAATGATATAGGAATAAGAAAATTCGTTGACATGCACTATCCTACATAATGTGAATTAACATGTGAATTTTTATCTTCATTGAAAGTTGTAAATAGTAGAAATGGACCGAGCTTAATTTTTAGGTTGAACAATAGAAATATTAGTTTGACATATGATGAGTTTTGTAAATTTTTTGAATTAAACTCTGAATTACCTTTCCAATGGCATGCTGATTATAAAATGGGTGATATTTATCATGCTTTGATTGATTTACCGACCCCCAACATGCTAGTACAAAACTGAAGGAGTTATGTCTTCGATAAGTGCAATTACTAGATATATCAAGGATCACGATTATGGAGATAATTAGTTCATTCTATAGGGTCGTCAATGTTTGGTGCTAGATATGACAATTGATCTTTGGGCTAGCTTAATGGCCCAAAGCCTTATAGAATGGATCCTACAAGGGCACACATAAGAGTATTGGGTTAAACAAGTTAGAGGCCCATTATTGGGCCTCATAAGTTCATGACATACCATGTTGATAATTAGGCTTGGATAGTTAGAAGAGTCTAATGGTTTTTGGACTTGACATGGTTTTATTTCTAGATATGATCTATAAATATAAACCATGCCTAGGGTTGCATGAGACAACAATTGACATACAGTGACTTGTCACACAAGCAACCAAGTTTCCCAAAAACCCTATCTCTCTCTCTCTACTCGGCCCTCTCTTTCTCCCCGTGTCCGTACGACCCTCCTCCACGGGTGGCGCGTGTGGTGGCGCGTGGGTGGTGTTGTGGTGTGTTCATGGCTCAAATCTTCGTTGAAAGTTGATTGAAGTGTTCAGTCACAATCAACTAGCATTAGTGGAGGTTTAATTCATGCTCGTGGACTAAGTAGAGGAATCACGCTCAGGGTTCTTTATCTCCCTTTGTTCTTGCTCGATCGCACGTGGAATCACGCTTCAAAGGTACTATTATATGTTCTTTATGTGTTATGCATTAGATCTTGGGATTAGGTACTGTATGAATATGATTCATGTTTTTTTCCCGCTGCGTAGTACTTATAATCTCCTATAGTGGTATCAGTTAGCCTATTGCATTTACGCATATTGACTATAATTCTTTGATAGTCCACAATTTTAATTCAATTAAGAGGGAGATTAATTTAATTATGGTTCAATTATTATATTAAATGTGATTTAACTCTTGGAATTGATTAAATGTGATTTAATAATGCTCAAAATAGCCATGAAAAGATCCGAATTCTGCCCTAGATTACTCGAAAATTTTGAACCCCCCACCTTATCTTTTCGAAACCCTAACCCTAAATTATGACTTTTGTGTTTTGGTTTTGATTTAATTCGTTTACTATTTAACTAATGATTTTAATCTATTTGATTTCATGATAAATTATGAATTTTTCATGATCAAATCATTTAATTTAAGAGTTAAATTAAATTGAGGATTAATTTCATGAAGAACCCTAAATTCAAGATTGAATGTGATTTAATTTTGAAATTAATTGGGCCACATTAACATTAATTTAATTTTACAAAATATGTTTTGTTTTATTTAAATTAAAAAAAAGGGTTTTTTAAGCAGCGGCAACCGCGGCTGGGTGGCGCAGCCGCGGCGGCTGCCGCTGCAGGTGGTCCGGAGGGAGGGGCGAGGTGGGGCAGGAGGACGGGTCAGCAAAGGCAGCAACAACAGCATCGTGCAAGGGTTGCGCGGCACTGCTGCTGCTGCTGTGCACCGTTATAGAGTAGGGTACACCTCACGGTATACGGCCACCGTGGCCGGCTTTAGCTAGCCACACCACGGTGGCTGGTGCACGGTTTTCAAAAAAACAAATTGTTATTATTATTTTATTTTAAAAATATTTTAAGATAAATATGATTTATTTTGGATGAGATAAAATATTTTGAAAATATGATCTTTTATTTTAAAAGATAAAATCGATTTTATTTGGATAAAATCTTTTATTTTAGGATAAAATCTAATATTCAAAAGTTGTTATGTTTGATATTATCCATATTTAAAGTTGTTAAATTGGTAATTATCCATAATTAAAGTGGTTAATTTTGGATAAGATTTGTTAGTATATTCTGAGCATATTCCAAAAGGATAATAATTGATTTAAATAATGTGATTATCCCATAATTAATTTTGGATATAATTGATTTAAAATTTTGTAATTGGCTAGTAATTAGGATAGAATTTCCTAACATTGTTAGGATAATCTTTGAGGATAAATATGATTTATCTTTTAAGATTAAAAAAAGTTTTGATTCTATCTCATGCCTAATTTAGAATATATGATATTTTATTGATGGTCATGAATAATATATGATATTATCTAATTGCATTAATTAAAATATGAGATATTTTGGTGCCATGTTTCCTTAATTGTGAACGTTCGATGTTGTAGTTTAGGAAAGCATGATGAGTGATTTATTATATGGCAATTTTATAATATATGATGTTATTTATTGCTATATAATGACTAGTATGGCCCAGTAGATTACTAAATACGATCTGCGCATCGTGATGTATTTTTATAATCTTAGTACGGTCTACGTACCGATAAAGTATTTTTGTAATTTTATTTCATTTTATTTAAGTAGTAGATATAATAGAGTAAAATTACAAGTTGTAGTTAATCCAAGAAGCCCATGAAATGAAGGCCCAAAGGAGCAAGGTGGATGAGATCCATGAAGGTTCAAGTGGGAGTTTTTTGCTTTATTAGTTTCTTAGAATTAGGGGCCATGCTATGTCTTGTTTATGCATTCAGTTTATTATGCATGTTAGATTTTACTGATGTTTTGTGATGATGCGCTAGAGTTGACTATTTAATCACAACATTATAAATCTAGGTCCCAGTAATATTGAGGTTGCTTTTCCAACTAAAAACCCGATGAAACCTTCGATATTTATGCTAGGTCATGCCTCAGCTGGGTGTCATATTATATCTTAGGGGAGTGGGGGTAAATCACGTTTTACAATTTTAATTGGTTATACTCAACAAGGTTACCTAAAGCGTTTAGAACCTTAAAGCTAAGGGTAATAATTAAACATGTGATGATTAATTATTCAACCAAGAGTTACAAAGAGTTGTAATCAGTAAAGAGTTTACTCACCTTGAAAATGCAATACTTGATGGTAGGGCCTCAGTCCGGTCAATTATTGCACAAATAAAGGATCTTGGAATCATTTTATTCAATAGGGATCAATTAAAATTGAATAAATGCTTTACAGTTGCCAATTTAATTCGCTTATGGCACTTTAAATTTTATTAAACATAATTGAATTTTGCGTTTACTTACAAGTAACATGTCGTTCTAATTTTATTATTATATATAATTTCCTCGATTGAAAATAAAGTTGAGAAACGTTCTCAAAAGTTTAAAAGATAATCCATAAAACTATATTCCAATTTTGACAAGATGGTTCTAAAAGGCAAGTTTTAGAAATCCATGTCACAAGCCTAAGGTTGGTTTGATTCAAAATGTTTGAGAAAAATGCCAACACATCTTCATTTTGAAAAGTGTTTCAAGGGATATAATGAGATGGGAGGTACAAACCCTCTAAAAGAAAAGTATAATAGTCCAATAAAATCTCTTATCTTCAATATGATTGAGTATAAGAAAGTGATTGGAAATTTCTATGATCAAAAGTTGATCAAATGACGCTATTATTCATCCATTTTATGTAAGAGTTAAATAGTGATTAAACTCTAATATGAATGATGATTGAATAGACTTAGCAAAATCATGAAAAGTGCTTAAAGTAGTTAAGCAAAGCATCATTTTGAACCTAAGAGAAGTGTTCTAAGTGGCTCAAATGGGAAAGGTTTAGGAATATATGAGGATTGCATTAAGAAGTTATGGGCCAAGAAATACAAACAAGTTGCAACTTCTCAAACCTAGAACTACTCACATGCTAAAAGTTGTTATGAACAACAAATTTTCAAATTAAATGGACCAATTCCAATTGATTAGAAATTACCTCATATAGTTGGAAGGTAAAAGAATGGGAATGTTCCAATTTAAGAAGTATATTATAGAAATTGATTTAGCACATTGCTACTTCTTGGACATATGATGTCTTGTTTAGTTCGCTCTCACTGAAATGAGGTTGAACTAAATGAAGAAGTATGGCTAAGGGAGAAATAAATCTACAAGTTTAGAAGCAAATGTTGCTACTTCACTAGTAGAATCTACAAGTCTAGAAGCAAAAGTTGCAACCTTACAAGTAGAACCTATATTTCACCTTACCTTGTTATTGGCTAGAATTAAATAAATGTTATTCATTCTTGTCATTATCAAAACACCATTCAACGTTAGTAATGCCTAAGCATCGAAGATTCAAAAATGTGGAATAAATGTTATTCTATGCTTCATTGAGTCATAATGTGTTTTGAGATTGCTAAAGAGGTTCAAAGTTCTATATGATAGAAATTATTAAACCATTTATATATATATATAAATTTTCTCTAAAATT